TTCAGCTATTAAAGTAATTTCGAATTATATTTAATGTGTCTCCAATACTCTCACCACATGGGAGTTCTTTCTAAGCTTTCTTTGATTTTTTTTTATCCTTGCTGAAATGCACATTTTACAGAATTCGTCAACTGAGGGCACTGTATACTAGAAAAATAACTGAAATTTTGAGAATTGGTTTCCATTCGGTCAAAAGTGATCAAATCCCGAAATTACTTGATAAGCATAAATGTATGTAAACTAGGATATTCTTCGACATCACAAAGTTAAATTCCCATGTAAATGCAGAATATATGCAATCAGTGTTTTTTTATAAAAAAAAAAATCTAAGAAATGACAATTGTTGACAGTTGGTGAAGGAGCAATGGTATTGAAGGTTAAGATCATCCGCTAACCAATGTTCAGCACCAATAATGGCAAATTTGATTTTAATTCGCTATGAAGTTTTTGGGATTTTGCCTACACAGACTGAAATGAGATAATATTCAAATTAGCTACTTAATATGCACAGGCATAGCCCCAAAACTATCTATGTACCAAGATTTTGAGATTTTCCTTGCACGGACGGACACGCACCAAAACCATCTTTTTTGAATCAAAGTGCAAAAAAAATGGTGACCATCAATAATGGTAAATGACACTGTAACAAGTCGACCATTTTGAATTGGAACACGAAACAAATTACAGAATATTGCATCTGATGCAAAATTTTTCAAAAGAATTTTTCAAAACTGTTGGTTCTGTTCCGCTCTCTAAATGATCAGCCATACAGAGCGTTTGTAGAACCTAACAGTGCCCTCTGTGTTCAAATGTGAAAATCATTTGTTTTTACAAACTTCAATTGAGGTGCTTGACAGCTACGTGTGTTACAAAGTTTGCGAATTCAATTGTCGTTATTGCACTCCCCGATCGTTAACTTTAAGCCACCAAGTGCATGCATTTGTTGGAAATATGCAAATTCTGTCGGCATTTTGTGATATTTCTTGTTCTCCACATAGTCTTTTTCTCGGAAATTTTCATCATAGTGGTATGAAAGTTGTGTTCCGTGGTACGTTTTGAAAGGATAAAAACCGTACAAGTGTACTTCTCGGCAGATTCCCGTCGCAATAGAATACATAACCAATCCAGTAGACAAGCGCCTTTCTGTTATCCCCTTGGTTTCCCAATACCTAGAGAGATAAAATAATACAGAGGATTAATAACAGTCTGGATGACAATTTTTTTTCATTTTGGTTCATATAAACTTATTCTTTGAATACCAAATCAATTTTCACAAAATACACCCACATATTTTTTCTACATTCTACAAGACATTAGTCTTATTATAGGGATGAAATAATGTAAATTTGTTGAAAACTGACAATAAAATTATAGAAAATATTTTAAAAAGGTTTCATCAAAATTTTGGCTGAAGAACCAATGCCAGGTGACGATACGAACATTATTTCTTCTGATATGTATATGTATGACTGAGGTTATTACGAGGATACCTCAAAGTATGCACAAAGACAGTACAGATGGAGTATCGACCGACGTGCAGCGGAGGTCGATGCACGGCGTACTGTCTTATTATTAAACATCTTTTTTCTTCCAAGGATGGGAATGCTGAAATCCAAAAATTCCGGCCATGTTTTTTTTTTATAGAGAACGCTTACACATGTAATGATTCCATATTTGGAATTCGCATTTCCCAATATTTTGGAAAACTAATTATGTAAATCAGGTAATTATAATATGGCCAGATTTGATTATAAAACTAGTAAGGTCTGTCTACTGTAACAGTTCGTCTATGTACCAAGTTTCATTGAAATGTGATTAGAACCAAAAAAATTATGAATTATTATGCTAATTAGGGAATTAATAAGAACAAATTTCAACCCCAAACTAATCAGGTCTGTTTATTGTCCTAGAGCATCTATGTATCAAATCTCATTGAAATGTGATGATTAGTACTTGAGATATCAGTGTGAAAGTTGAAAATTGGATAATTATACAAATTAGGCGATTAATATGCATAAATATTTACAGAAAACTAATTGGGTCTTTGCATAGTCCTCGATTCATTGAAATGTGATAATTAGTACTTGGGATATCAGTGGAAAAGCTGAAAATTCATTAATTTTGCAAATTAGGTGATTAATATGCACAAATACATGTATTCACTCCAAAACAATCGATCTATGCATAGTTCTTGAGTATCGATGTACCAAGTTTCATTGAAATGTAATGATTACTACTTGAAATAGCAAAAGATGAAAATTAATTAATTATGCAAATTAGGCAATTAATATGTAATGATACTACCCTAAAAACTATCAGGTCTGTGCAGTGTCTTATGGCAGCTATGTACCAAGTTTTATTGAAATGTGAAGATTAGTACTTGAGATATCAGAAAAGCTGAAAATTGACTAATCATTATGCAAATTAGGTAATTATTATGCATGGATTTTTACCCAAAACTAATCAAATCTGCACATTAGTTCAGAGCATCTTTGTACCAAGTTTCATCAAAATCCAAAGGGTGGTTCTTCAGATATCAGTGGAACAGTCATGGAACATTTAAAAATTAGCTAAATATCATGCAAATTAGGTAATTAATATGCATGATTTCTACCAAAACCTAATTGGCCCAGAGCATCTATGCACCAAGTTTCATCAAAAATCGATGTATGGTTCTTGAGATATCAGTGGAACAGACGGACACACACACACACACT